GGAGGAGGAGGGGGAGGAGGAGGAGGAGGAGGAGGAGGAGGAGGAGGAGGAGGAGGAGGAGGGGGAGGAGAAGGAGGAGGAGGAGCGCGCGCCTCGAAGGGCGCAGCAACGAAAGCTGCAGTCAACGTCGTCGTCGTGGTCGTCGCCGTCGCCCTCGTCCTCGTCCTCGTCGTCGTCGTCGTCGTCGTCGTCGTCGTCGTCGTCGTCGTCGTCGTCGTCGTAGTCGTCATCGTCGTCGTCCTTGACGTCCTTGTCTGTCCTCGTCGTCCTCCTCGTCGTCCTCCTCGTCGTCGTCTTAGTCGTCGTCGTAGGAGGGCGCGCTTCGAACGGCATTTTTTCGTCCCTCCTCTTCAGGGGGCGGGGCATCGCGGGGGCATCTCAGAGGAGCGAGAAGTCAATGCTGGTACGCCAGGGGGTTCCCAGGTGGCCCAAGGTCTCCTATCCCATCTTTTCGCACGGGCTGCAGCAACGAGGGATGCTGGATACCCCAGAACTCTTGGAACGCATCCTGCGCCAATCGCATCATGACACCATTTCCGCCCAAGTATCGGCTACGATCTGAGGCAGGGCGCCAGGAGGGGCATCTGATCATGAGAGGAAGGACGAGGAGAGGGGGCAGCATGAGGAGGAGGTTCCGAGGAAGAGAATGGCGGGTGGCAAGGTGATGATCCACGCGCGTTCTCGCACCATCATGTCAGCCAGGATCGTCATCAAGTGGCCTTCGGCACATCTCGCCATCGTTCCTGGATGCTGGGTCAAGACCGCAGCGAGTTCGATTAGATGGCACTCCGTATGCCCAGGCACGTGTCTGGATTGCCCCCGTGGATGGCTCGTTCGAACGTGGTTGAGGGTGCTAGGATGTCCTGGGATGTGGGCTCCTTGGGAGCAGATGTAGGGCCTCTTGAGGGCCTCTTTTAGGCCACTTGGAGGCCTCTCGGGGTCCTCCTGGGTGCCTTAGGGGGGCCTCTAGAGGGGTCTCTGGGGGTCTCTTGGGGGGGGGGGGACTGCTCTGCAGAGGCCTGCTCCTCCTCCCCCTCTTCCCTTCTCATCCCCCCAGGTGTGTCTTTGTTTGGGCCCTGCACCGCGTGCCAGGAAAGCAGACCGCACGAGAGACTCGAGTCCAGGCCCATAGTGCTGCTGCCCGCACGCCGCCCGGCCGAGCGCACCGAGCACGCCCAGCGCGAAGCCGAGCCCAAAAAGAGCAACCGGCCCGCCCCCCCGCCCGACCCGCAGGCGAGGACGCCGACGCGGTCGCACGCCTCGCAGCAGCCCCTGCGCGTGGAGCTGGCCGAGCCCTTCTCGTCCACCCCGCCGGCGCGGCCCGCCAGGCCAACCCCCCTCCGCGCCCTTCCGCTCGGGTGTGGCTAGAGGTGCCTCTGGTTCAGGAGGGAAAAAAACACACAGACACAATTAATCGTCGATTTCCCAGAAAATATTGGGAAATATGGGAAGTGGTGGGGAAGACAAAAACCCAGAAAATATAGGAAAATGTGGGGAATCTTTTTATTTGTGTGTATTTATTTGTGTGTCCCAGTTTCCCTTCACTGGTGCCCCCAGGATGCCCAAGGAGGCCCCCACGGCCGGCAGAGTTCCCCCCCGCGTTGCCCAGGGGGCCCCCGAGGCTCCGCGAGTGGAGTGAGCAGGCCGGGGGCACCTCGGGCCGGGGGCGCCTCGGGCCGGGGGCGCCGATCCGCCGCCCCTGGCCCTGCAGTCAAGGAGGAGGAGGAGGAGGGAGGAGGAGGAGGAGGAGGAGGAGGAGGAGGAGGAGGAGGAGGAACAAGGACCTGCCTGGGCCTGGCTCTCCGGGCCGCTCTCTCTTAGCTCTGTGCCGTGGGGCCCGTGGGGCGGCCTCGGCCCGCCGTGGCCAAAGAGTCCCTTCGCTGCTTGGTGCTATGCGTCCCTGCTGCCGGCACGCGGGCTGCACCCGGGGCGCTCCGGGCAGGGCCTCACCCCGGAGGGTCGGAGGGGGGTGCGGTAGGTTCGCGTCGTGTCGACTCGTCGCGACCCCGCCGCGGGCGTTCAAGGTTGAACGCCGCCGGCGACCCAGAACCGATCGATGTTGAACGATCGGACGTTGCGGCAGCGGCCGATCGTTCAAGGTTGAACGATCCCTGCGGTGTCAAAAACCAACGCTGGGGTCGGCACGACACGAACCTGCCGTGGCAGCTCTGCCTCGGTGGGAGGCGGCGGAAGGCTGGCGGAGGGCGGTGGGAGCACAAGGAGGCGAGCCCTTCCGCCGCCCATCCCCGGAGAAGAAGAAGAAGAAGGAGGAAGTTGCGCAAGAGCACGAGCTTCCCGAGTTGCTGTTCGGATTTCTAGGATCGGCGCTGGAGCCCGCCTGGCGGCGCGTCCAGCGTCCCCTTTGGCGCGCTCCGCGCGCCAGGGAGAGGGGTCCAGCGCCGATCCAGGCAATCCGCGCGGCGCTTCGAACGATGATGTCTACGCAACTGTTTCTTCGCCACGCCCTTCGCCACCCAGCGCCCTTCCGCCGCCCTTTGCCCAAGATTCAGGAGGGAAAGAAACACACAGACACAATTAATCGTCGACTCCCAGGAAAATATAGGAAAATATGGGAAGTGGGGGGGAAGACAAAAACCCAGAAAATATGGAAAAATATGGGGGATATGTTTATTTGTGTGTATTTATTTGTGTGTCCCAGTTTCCCTTCAAAGATGTCCGACGATATGTTTTTGTTCAGTCCTGGCGTGCTTCCTCGATTTCGGTCCCTGGCGTTGGTCGTCGGGCCCCGGTGCCACACCACGCATGGATCCAGGGCGACAAACTACCCCCAGGGAAGCGGTCATTGTTGTCGTCCTCGCCCGCGGGCACAAGGACGCTCGCGTGGGCTTCGAGAGTATGCATTGCGTGAGCGTTCGTAGCACGAGGCTGGCTTCGCGGACGGGGAGGCTGTATTCATGTGCATGGCTGGGCGCGTACGCTTTCTGTGTGTGTGTGTGTTCCCAAATGGGACCATCGTAGAAAGGGGTCCGAGGTCGATGAATCGTGCCGCATCGCCGATGCATCAGCGAGGTGTGGAGCCCTGATCTCTCCACGCCGACCTCGCCCATGCATTGTCGACGTCGCCAATGCATCGGCGATGCGGCGCGATCCTCGGACCGCATCTAGGCCCCCAGTTGGAAGGCCTCGATCGGCGGAATCCGAACCCCATCCTCGCCGATCCACGATTCAGGCAGCACGACGGGCGGCGGGGGTGGGGTTCGGAATTCGCCGAGCACGTGGCGAAGACCGAGCTCCAGCCCCGCCTATCATCGGTTCAGGAGAAGTGCTGGTTGGGGGCAGTAGGGTGTGGATGTCGCCACCTGCAGTCAACCTGCATAGTATGGATGGACAACCTCCCCAAGGGTACCATTGCATCCTTGCCACCTCGGCCCATCCTTGGCCACTTTCGCTGGCCGCGCCCCGCTCGAGAAGCTTCGAAGTGGGCGTCCAAGGCGCTTGCATCCTTTTCGTGCATCCTTATGATACGGGTCGACTGTACTCTATAGTCGTCGGATTGGAGTTTTTTGGGTGGGCGTATGTTCGGCGTCATCGCTTCGTGTTCTGTGCTCTCTGGGCGCCCCCTCTCCGCGCCGCTGCCCGTCGCCGCCTCCTCCAGGAAGAGGCGGCGATCGAGGGGGGAGGAGGGGGAGAAGGAAGGGCGAGGGGCGAGGAGGAATGCCCGGCACCTTCCAGCTCTCGCGGCACCCATGCTTTGTTATCCCCTCCTCCTTCTCCTTTCCTCCTCCTCGTCCTCCCCCTCCTCCATATCCTCCTCCATATCCTCCTCCTCCTCATCCTCCTCCTCCATATCCTCCATATCCTCCTCTTCCTCCTCCTCCTCCTCCTCCTCGTCGTCCTCCTCCTCCTCCTCCTCCTCCTCGTTGTTCTCGTCGTCTTCCTCGTCCTCCTCCTCCTCGCGGCAAGGCAACGCTCTGTCACCATGGGGGGGGAGCCGGAGGGAGCTGGTAACCTCCTCCATCTCCTGCTCCTCCTCCTCCTCCTCCTCCTCCTCCTCCTCCTCCTCCTCCTCCTCCTCCTCCTCCTTTCCTTCGCGGCAACGCCCTGTCACCATGGGGGGGGAGCCGGAGGGTCTGGTAACCTCTTCCTCGTTCCCCCTCCTCCTCCTCCTCCTCCTCCTCCTCCTCCTCTTCCTCCATCTCCTCCTTCTTCTCCTCCTCCTCGTCGCGGCACCGCCCTGTCACCATGGGGGGGGGAGCCGGAGGGGGTTGGTAACCTCCTCCTCGTTCTCCTTCTCCTTCTCCTCCTCCTCCTCCTCCTCCTCCTCCTCCTCCTCCTCTTCCTCCTCCTCGCGGCAACGCCCTGTTACCATGGGGGGGGGGAGCTGGAGACGGCTGGTAACCTTCTCCTCGTTCGTCTCTCCTCCTCGTCCTCTTCCTCCTTTTTTTTTGTTTACAATTCCGCCTTTTTTCCAATTTGGTGCTTCGCTGCCGCCTCCGTGCTCCGGTGGAGTCGGAGTCCAGTACAAGGAGGGGCGAGGAGGTGGAGAAGAGGAGGTGCTCCGTCGTCCTGTCGTGCTGCCGTGCCCCTCTTCTCCGCCCCCATCCCCCGAGTTTTTTGTCCAGGCCTCCTAGGCTTCAGTCGGGCCTGTCCCCCCCTCTCGCCTCCCTCCTCTCGCCTTGCTCCTCTCGCCTCCTGTTGAGGCGGAGGGGGGAGGGGGGAGGAGGAGGAGGAGGAGGGGGAGGAGGAGGAGGAGGAGGAGGAGGAGGAGGAGGAGGAGGAGGCCTAATCACAGAATGCGCCAGCCCGCCAGCAGGTGCCCCGCAGAAGCTTCTATCCTCCGATGGCCTTGGGGGGGGGGGGGGGCCCACAGAAGGCTCAAGTCGGGCCTGTCCCCTCTGCAGGAGGAATATCCAATGTTGGTCGAAAATAGTATGTTTTACAACGTCTTGAGCATTTTTGATGCATGTTTGGACTGTTCTGTAATTTTCGCCCCAAATCTGCCTGCAGGAGGACGCGCCCGACCTAATCCTAGATGGGGTCGAAGCAGATGGGGTCGGAGGATCACGCCGCATCGTCGATGCATCGGCGATGCAGCTCGATGTGGAGCCCGATTTTCTCCACGTCGGCCGCCGACATTGACGATGCGTCGCCGATGCGTCGCCGATGCATCGCCGATTCATCATGATCTGGCGCGATCCTCCGACCCAATCTACTCGGACACCATCTAAGAGGCCTCTAGTTTGACTTCCAATAAGCAACTATGGCTATGATCCATCCTTTCCTTGAGGGATCGCCGATCGAGGGGGCTACCGATGGCGCCAGTCATCCGTGGCAGACCTGCCTTCAGAGCCAGCTTCAGGAACCCCGTAGGCCCCCACGGCGCGTCACGAACGCATAGCCGCGGGCGGTTTCTGGAAGTTTCTGGCTTCGGGGGGCCCTTTTCCAGGCCCCAAGGAGTCAGTAGTGTCAACAAAATGGTTCAGAATGAAAAGTTCGTCCTGGAAAGGGGGCCCACGTCTTAACAAGAGACGGCGTCGTATGTTTGGGCATCTCTCCGAAAGTTAGACGTTGCGCGGACCAAGTTCGCAGTTTCAACGCCACGAGGAGGACGAGAAGCTAGTAGAGTTCTTGTCTTCCTCCTCCCCTCCTCCTTGCTGGTCGCCGCAACGGCTGTCGTCGCCGTCGTCGTCGTCGTCGTCGTCGTCGTCGTCGTCGTCGTCGTCGTCGTCGTGTGGCTCCTCCTCGAGGTTTCTGAGTGTGTGTGTGTGTGTGTGTGTGTTGGCCCTCCGCACCGCCGATGTTCGAGGTCGATGGCCATAGCTCGAGGAATTTTTGTCGCAGCGTTCGGACCATGGGGGGGAGCCGGAGGGGGCTGGTAACCTCCTCGTTCTCCTCCTCCCCCCCCCTCTCCTCCACATCCTCCTCCTCCTCCTCCTCCTCCTCCTCCTCGTCCTCCTCCTCCTCCTCCTCCTCCTCCTCCTCCTCCTCCTCATCCTCAACACCTGGGGGCTGGTAACCTCCTCCTCTCTCCTCCTCCTCTCCTCCTCCTCCTCTCTCTCCTCCTCCTCCTCCTCCTTCCTCCTCCTCCCTCCTCCTCCTCCTCGTCCTCCTCCTCCTCCTCGTCCTCCTCCTCCTCCTCCTCCTCCTCCTCCTCCTCCTTCTCCTCCTCCTCCTCCTCATGGTTCGAGGAGGTTTTTCGCAGCGTTCGGACCAAGGGGCCGCCTCGGGCACTGGGACCGTCAGGAAACCGAGCCGGGAGGGAAAGTCACGCCTGCCAGGGGTGGGCCACGGGCGGGGTCATTGAACCAGAATGGCGCAAATTGTCGACCTTCGGGGATCGAAGATCAAGAATAAGGAATCGAGTGTC